GCTCGAGTTGAGAAGAATTTTATTTTACCGATCGTTGTCCTCAGTTAGAATACAAAGCCGAATTTTCTATTCGTTAGTCCAAGTTATCTATCGTGCTTTCATTTGTAATGATCCCTTTATCCTCTGTTCGAAGCACAATTCTTCTCTACTATAGATGGTATTATCAATGGAAGCTTTCAGAGCAAAATTGCTTTGATAAGCATAAACTGTTAGAAATTTTCTCACTTAACCGAGAGCATTCGCGACAAGCAGACCTAATTTTCCATACAACGGCTTTTTCTAAGAAATATTCTTACTGCACAGTTGTCCCTTCCGAACCGGTATGAGTTGCTCGTCAGTATTCAATGTTTGGTTTTGTCTGTTTGTTTTGGTTTATTGTTTTCCTGATGGCGCACCTTGAGTGTAAAATATAAAATTTAAAAAAAAAAATAAAATTTGCATTTCTCGGCAAGAAATGAAAAAGCTAGAAGTTCACATTTCTTGAGAAATGAAAAAAATCCACTACTCAAGAGAAAAACATTTCTTATCTCCGTGAATCAAATACTCCTACTTCAAAGGCACCAGATATCATGAAAATTATTATGACCGCTGGAAACACTGATAAATGATTCAGAAACATACAAGGTGCTTGAAGATAGGTTTATAGCTTACACAAATTTTCTGAAAGCAGAAAGGTTATGAATGCTTTTGTTTCTTCATAGAATTTCTCCTCTTCTCATTCTGAGATGTGCACGAAATTCAAACATAAACAGATCAGAGCTCAGCTGTTGCTTTCAATAACTTTTTTCAAGTATTAAGCTTGGACTGGTATCTATTAATCTTTCGTTAACAAAGGCGTTTCATGTTGCTGTCAGCGCACGACCACATCTAAAATTCCTGCCATCACGCATTGCGCAAATTAATTGGCTTTCTCGACATGGGAATGCTAAAAGCTTCGTTTAGAAAAGTTAACTTTCACTGACGTGCCCTTTTCCTCTAAAATCAATTTGGTCCTCTCGTACTACTCTTGCTGATCCTTTCTTTTTCGATAGCTATTACTTAACAAGGAATTCCTTGAGGTTGATAGTAGATCAGACATACTGATGAAAGCCACCCTTATAAATCACGGAAATTCGCCCTGTGTTGGATAAAATTATTTCGAAAACCACTATCCTGTTTATAAAATAACGCTATATCATTGTCCAGAACGGCTCCCAAAATCAGTGATGAGCGGAGAAAAATTTGAAAATTTGAAAAAACGCGTTCAGAAGGCTGGCCATAGCTATAAGACCACCTCCTATTTACACGCAATACTACATGCTTTTGACCTAAAATTTTTTTATACAGTTACACCATGATAACTGAAACGTCTGCTACACTTGGAGCTGTCGCCTTTTGAAAACAAGATTTATACGGCATTTTTTGCTTTCAACTGCATAAAAACCCACATCAATTCAAAAAACTGCCGGTTTACTGAGTATTCAAGCACTAAACTCGGATAAAGACGTTAGGATTCGTTCAGCATTTGCAATGAATGTGGTGAAAGGCGCTTCAGTCAACCTTGCGCAGACGTTGATATCAATGACGGAGCCTCAACCTTACCAAGAGTGTAGGCACTCTTTTGGACCAGAAACTCGAAACTTCTAGTCGGAAGTTGACACATTGCTTATACGACGACGTACTAATGCAAAAGTTGTCAGAGTTTTTGCAAAAACGCATCTTCAACGTTGAAGTCAAAATGCTTCATCTGCAGTTCATTTGTGCGCAGGATATCTAACATCACTCCAAATTTTAGTCCTTTCATCTCTTCTTTAAGTCATCTTACGGAACAGTTGGGAATAATAGAATTTGAAAGTTTTGAACGGTTTTTCGTCCAATCGGGTGGTTAGAGTAAGTCTTGATTACCCACAGTGTGTTACTGATTTTTGAAGGAACAGTGCTCAAGGCATAACCGGAGTATTAAAAGCTGCAAAGAAGGTACGACAATGCGTACGAGTTTATCGTTATACAAACGAAGCAGTGAGAACATGGCAGAGATTTCGGGCATCAGAAGTCAAGTTCGGTGGTTTCAAAGCTCGTCTACCTGAAGGGAAGGTAGAGGTTCCGTCACTGTTATCAACGACTAAGCAAGGTTAACTGAAGCGCCTTTCACCACATTCATTGTAAATGCTGAACGAATCCTAACGTTTTCATCCGAGTTTAATAAGTGCTTGAAAAGTCAGTAAACCGGCAGTTTTTTGAATTGATGTGGGTTTTAATGCATTTGAAAGCAAAAAATGCCGTATAAATCTTGTTTTCAAAAGGCGAAAGCTCCAAGTGTAGCAGATGTTTCATGTTATCATGGTGTAATTGTATAAAAAAATTCTAGGTCAAAAGCATGTAGTATTGCTTGTAAATAGGAGGTGGCCTTATAGCTATGGCCAGCCTTCTGAACGCGTTTTTCCAAATTTTTTAATTTTTCTCCGGTCAAAATTATGGGAGCCGTTCTGGACAATGATATAGCGTTATTTTATAAACAGGATAGCGATTTTCAAAACAATTTCATCCAATACAGGGCGAATTTCCGTGATTTTTAAGGGTGGCTTTATAGCTGTGGCCAGCACTGTGAACTAAGTCTGTCTTTTTATCATCGTCAGCTGAAGCTCGCATGAAGAGCCACAATAAATTGAATTGCCTTGTTATTTTTTGAGGAAAGCTTCTGCAAATTCGCTTGTGGTTGTGCACCGCATTTTCACTTTTATTGTGGATAAACAAAGTGATTACGATTTTGAGTTCTGCAGCGGATTTTTCGCCTAACAAATCATAATTGGCAAGAGAAATGTTCAAGGTGTGAGTCATTAGCGAGTTCTTCACATGCTTCGCTGAATTTTTTTTACGTAAGTTGGGGTGAGATTACTGCAAAAAGCTGATCTTCAGATTTCCTCCTGTATTAATCAAAGTCACAGGTTGAGAAAATGGGGATTAAGGTATTATCACAAAAAGGATCATGTTTACTGTGGCATATGTTAGCGGAAGTGGATATTCAGTGGTTCGTTTATCTCTTTATTATACAAGATGGAAAGTACCTTTCTTCAGTCGCCTTGTGAAATATCTCACATATATTAGGCTGTTGCATAAGTTCTGTCCGATTTGAATTTTTCGAGTTCAAAATCTCAAAACTTTCAAAGTCAACTTTTTTCCAAGATCCTACTTTCTATGTGTTGAGCAGTTCCTTGGCTATCAGACACATGTTGAGACCTGCGAAAATCCTTGTCAAGGAAGAAACAAGAACTCAAAAACTTTACAGCGTTTTTTTAAATCTGTCTTTTTTGAAAAGGCAATGCTCCCTTATGAAAATTGATAGGCAGCTTATCTAACAAAAAATAAATAGAGTAATTTTCGTAGATTATTTTGCAACATAAGATAGCCCATAGGGTTTGCGTTGCCAAGAGATTTTTTTGACCGAGGAAAAAAGAAGCCACTTTTTGATTATGCTTCAGCGCATGTGTGCATGCCTATTTAAAATTATAAAAATTTTACGATTGACGTGAGCGCCGAAAAGGAATCGGTGGATGGGATCTGTTAGCTCTTGCTTTACCCTAGCACATTCAACTTTGAACTTATCGATTACTTCTATTCGCAGAAAGTTATTGCTTGTAAAACATGTATACAAAAAATATGTTCGACAATAAATTTTACTAGCGAGTCGTTTTCTTCATGGAACCGAACTTCTGCATATACTAGCATTCTATACCCTTATTCCGCAGCCAATGAAAGAACTTGACTTGAAAGGCGCATTGTGGAGATTTCCTCGCAAGAACATATTTCTAGGGTGGGACGTACCTCGGCCACTCAAAGATTTTAGGCCTGAAATCTTCGTACACTAAGAAACTTATTGAAATCTGAGACGCGTTAGAAAGAGAAGGAAAGCACTTTCAAATGATCTCAACACTACCGCATTAAAGATGAAATCCTCTTGAAACAGCTGCTTCAAACTTAAGGCAAAAAATTGGACAGAACTTATGTAACAACCTAATAAATATATGAAATCTAAAGTTTTCTGAATCTTACATGTAGGCGAGAACTTGGGGTTACATTAACGGCCTCCTTCCTTCCACAAACAACTGATAAAAGCAATCTTCTTTGTAAGAAAATAAATTAATCCTTTACTTATTGCAACGGTGGTTATTCTCAGGATATTTCGAAGTCATTACTACTTCTTCAAAATAGTAGACTCAGATTCTCGCTGGAAACGTAAGAATTTTTGAAAAATCTTTGCACTTGTGAGGAGAGAGGCACCGCCGAGTGTAATTTCAGAATTTGGGGTCAGTTTTTCTAATTTCCTGAAACGTATTCTTATCCTGGGATTCATCTAGAATTCACCAGAAGAAATCATACAGATTTTATTGAACTTTGAGAGTCACTGCTTTTTCGGCACCCTGTGCATGCCAAATAAAAGACTTCGCCGAGCTTCTGGAATCTTAAAAGAAAGCGACGAAGTTTAATGAGGTTTATGCTACTACCTAACATTGTATCACTTAGCTTTACACACAATACTTGAATTACATTAGTATTGGACATTTCCTCTTTCTTATTGAGTGGGTGGAAAGTATATGCGGGTTGTTTGTAGGAAGAGGAAGTGTGAAAGGTTACTGATATTCAACACTTTGCTGAAACTAGGCAGAGCATATATTCTGTGGCAGATTTTAACACTATGTTTCCTTCAACACTTCCTTTACTCTGAAGGTGGATAATAGAAGCCTCAGCTTTGCCAGCGTTATCCTCTTGTCCTACTTTTTGCGCAATCTTGAAGCAAGCCATGCTGAGTTTTGAAAAGCATATCCCGAAAAAAAATGTGTTCACTTTCGACGTTGGCGAACAAAGTGCATGTGCTGATCCAGATGATGCTAGTGTCGCAACTTTTGGCGTGACAATCGTCTTTGTTGAAAAGTGTCAGTGGAAAAAGTGTTGAGCTCGTTGAGATGTAACACCACTGCCTTAACTTTGCTTTTGAACTTCATTCTTCTTGATCATTACAAACCATGCGTGTCCACCCTTTCTATTGCCGATTGAAGAGATTTTTATTTGGACGCGATCTCGAGGTAAGGTCAATATCTTACATTGAAGGCTTTTGAACATTTAGAGACAGTTTTTACCCCTTGAACTGCATTTTTTTTCTTGAGAAAAAGGCCTCCGCGAAGGTTCTGTCGTCCTTTTTTTTGCGAACTCCGTTTCCTATTTCTTTCGGAAAGCTTGGCTTCTCAGGAGGAGGAGGAGCCCAATTACAAGACTTACTCTTCTAGAAAGCAGGACTCGGGTTTACACTGATGATGGTTCCGGATTCTATTTACTATAGCACCAAGATCTGTCGCAAAGCTAAAGAACTTCGTTTTTCATAAGAAAGCGGTTTTGAATCCGCAATGCTGAGGCTATCCGATATATTGCTGGTTAAACTAATTTTTCACTTACCTTAACTCATATCTGTACACAGTGAAGCTTATCGTACACATCCGCATGACTCAAAAAATCAATTATTATTAAAGCATTTTGAGCTTAGGCAAAGGGCAAGCTTTATCTGATGTCAGGAAGGCATCTTGTTTTTTGTAAATGCCCTCACAATTAAAACAATCATTATGGGAATTGACTTTCAATATGCGGACAAAGTGCAGATTTCAATCGAGTTTGTGAAGTTTGTTGGAAGTTCCATCATCTTTATATTCACTCACCCATATCTTTAGAAAAACTTTAGAGTACGTGAAACTTCATCTTCACTTGGTTGTCGACTCCTCTGAAGAATAAAACTATTGCTCTGACGTTTGCAGCAAAAATAATGGGATATCGCTTCTAACTACTATGTCTTCGTAAAAATTACATACTATTTTCTTCAACTTGCCCACTATCAACAGAGGATGCGTGCTTGGAGTATATGTGAAATATTACTCCTACAACGTTGAGGTTTTCGCACTTGTTTTGATTACAGCAGATTCTTCTTTCCTTTGATTTGTTTATGATCAAAAGTGGCAACGAACAGCATGACTTTGCAATGCGTGTTCAATTTTTGGCAGTTTCGTCAGTAAAAGAAATTCGCTCATCGATTTCAGTTGAATAGAATACTGACTTGAAATCGCAGAAACAAAGCATCACCTTTGTTGTGCTCCCTCAATGAAACTTGCGTCAGTCATATCGAATCTTTCAAAAATTCGCTGGAACTTCTATTTAAATCGTCTGCTTGTTTGTTGCACGGTACTTGTTGATATCCTCACGCGTATAAAAGTAGCGGTAGGTTGTAAGTGACCAGCGGCAGTTTTGAAATTATTGCTATTTTCATTGAAAATTAATTTTTCTCTGAAAAGGAGGGAATACTTGATCGAAGTGGTATTTCCATAGAAGATGTATATCACCCCCGATCTGCTTTCGTCATCTGCAAGGCGCTTCTGGGAAGTTTATTAATATTTTTTTGACGAAAAAATTTCAAGGCGCAGCTACAATAAAATCATTCAGAACTGTAGTCTGTTAGCTCAGCTGGGGTCATGATTACTGCCACGGCGCTTCGTGTAATTAATACTTTTTATCCTAATAAAATGGAACTAGTCTGAACTCCATTGAAGTGCGAAAGACTTCAAAAGTCGTTTTTACCTTAGCCAAGAATTTGAATTGTTGTCTGAAAAAAAATATTCGTAACCTCCATCCCGCAAGTGATTTGGAATCATCCTTCCATACTCTATAGAATCATATACTCATGCGGAAATAGCACTTCGACCAAGTTTCCTTCCCTTGTCAGGTACATGTGGCTCATTCTTTAGGAAAGATTTTGGCAGTTAACTTAGTGCACCTTCATAAAAATCTCTAATTGACAATCAGCGCTTTGCATTTGATATGCTAATCCAGGTGAACCTGGAGCCAAATCGAAGAACTTTTCCATATTCTTTCCTACATTGCCATATCGGATGAATTTACTCAAGCTGACAAAGAGATTCACTAAGTTCACAGCTCTGCCCAACATTCTTTCTGCAGATGTTCTCTCTGTCACGGAGACACTGAGCACTTTACACCAGATGACATTACCAGAGACACGTGGCTTACGAAAAAAAGTCGCGATCATTGTCCAGGGTTGTTAAAAGTTCAGAAAGTGAATGAATAGGGCGAATGGATACGAAAATCGAGAATTTTACTACAAATTTAACATCGTTGCATATGTTCCAATTCCAAGCGATGTGCATTAGATAGACTAATACATCCGCCAATATGAAGAAGTTTATGTTTATCTTTATATAATTATTAGGGTGTCTCATAATTTTTCACCATAATTACCCTAGACATCGGTATTTCTCGAGAACTGGGGCACCTACAAAAAGGGTACAAATACATGCTCGTAATTCTGTATGTATGAGCTATACGATCACGTGTGTGGGAGGAGCTCGTGACTTCTAGGGCGAAGTTTGCAATTTTACTCCATTTGATTTTTCCCTATTTCTAGCCAAGAAAAAATACGAAAAGTGTATAATTGAATGTTCGATGTGTCAAGCATGTGCTAAAACTAATGGGGAGTTTTTGGGACTTTTTGGGGCGGAGATACGATTTTTTCCTGTTAATTTTGACTTCGTTGTTTTCGACTTCTATCATAATTCAGCTCAAAACTTCACGTGGAATACAAATTGGACAGACTCTTGATAGCCAGGTTGTAGAACTTGCTTTGTTCTGTCGAATGATTATTAATTTACATCAATATGGAAAGATATAAGTAAAAAATTATGAGATACCATAATACATTACACCATTGTAATTTGCCATGCTAAGAAAGAATAAATGAAAGAAGAGTAAGATGTAAAGAACATGTATACCACTGACATATCACAGACTTTTCTAACAGTTATAATTTTAATTTCCCCGAGAGTGGGTCGTGAAATTTTTGAAAGTTACTTACATGAGAAAAAATGTGCACGTGACTTTTTTGATCTCGTTAATAATTGCATTGATTGTTGAAATCTACATATCAGAGTTTTTCATTCAATCGTCACTGGGTTATAATCAAAGGTTTTGAATAGGCGGTAGCAACAAATATAAACTGGAGTCATCCCAAGGCTCAAAAGCTTGTCACCGATTTCTGCAGCAACCATTCTGACATCCTTTTGCAAAGAATATCAGCTTGTCACATTTCAAACAGTGTAAAGAAAGCAAACTTGCATTGGAAGCTGCACATTTTAAAATACTACAGCGCTTTTCTTCATTTTTGGAACACGCTTCACGGTGCTCGCATCAAGTGCTAGTCATTTTTGGAGATGTTACATGTCTTGGTGTGATAGTACATTACATTCATATGCTAAAGGCATTGTCAGCTATATGATTGTTTGAGCTATGCAACAGCGATCTGAAAAAAATGCAGTAATTGAGGGGAGAAGGGTAAGTTATGGAAGAGGGTAATCTGGGAAGCTGTTCATTTGAAGTGAAATTGGGAAAAATGTTGCATTCCCAACATAAGGATGTCCTAAAATTATGTGTGCACTGTTTGATCATTAATATTTCTCTTCCCAAAAATTCTTTGTCTACCTTCAGTTACCATGTAAACATGGCTTCAACTTAGGTTTGCACTATGGAGCGAAACATCGATCTCTCCTCATTACTGTAGGATTACTGTAGAAACTTTTGAGAAATTGTGCCGTTAGGCCACATTCCTACTCAGAAAGAAAACCAGACATGTTGAAAGCTTTGATACTAGATTGCTTAAAGCCGCCTCAAAAACGTGATCACACCATCAAGAAAGCCTGTAAAATTGCAAAAACTTATCCTATAAAATCAGCATGGATAAAAACCTTGTTACACAAATTTTCACAATTTTCGAACATATTTCTCTAAATGGTTTTTTTCCACACTGATGTTGTATGCTGAGAGTTTCTACCGTAATCCTACAGTAACTAAAGGGGCTCAGTGATTCGCTTCATGCTGTGAATCTAAATTTGAAGCAAGCTCAACAAAATAATACCTGAAGGTAGGCAAAAGATTTCTTGGGTAAAGATATATTAACGATCAAGTAATGTATAGATACTTTAGGGACACCTTGTATTATTTGAATGTTCTAGCATTTGCAGCACTGCAATCTTGTTTGATCGCAAAATATGGAATGTTGTGGTTTAGCCAAACAAAGGTTCAAACTTTAAAACTTTGCAGTTGTATGTAGCAGGATGCGTAGCCAATCATAGAATGCGTGAATCGTCTTGAAACGTTTCAAAAGCATCCAAGAATAACTTTTTAGGGGGATAGGCACATCTGGTACCAGTTCACATTCCCACTGGCATATGTCGTCAATGCAGTGCAGAGCTTTCAGCACCCGTAACCATAAAACTTCGCACTTTCCTGAGTCACTTCAAGCAAGCAAAACTTTGCATTGAGGATGTGCACTCCTCTTATCCACCATCTTCTCCACGATTGGAGTCGCGTTACCAAATCCAATTTGTAGTTTCACATATGAAAGCCCTCAGAGCAGCGCCAACACCCAATACTCTACGACAATTATGCTAAAAAGATGATTTTTGGTCAGATCTCGGATTATTATCATGCCATCAGCGCCATGGCTTATTAGATTGACAGCTTGATTGGAGCGATTTGGAAACCCCTCACTTTGCTATCAATTTCACTTCAGCACTTTGTCGTATGACAGCTTGCTTAGCTCTGCTCACATATGCTCGTTTCTCAGTCTTGTTTTTTAATTACAACTGCGTTTGAATTCACTAACCCATAAGTTAGTGAATTTTTTTTTCATAGAAATCAAACCACCCGACAATGAGTCATCATGAATAAAGATTTTGCTTTCTTATAGTCTGAAGTCACACTAATTATACAAATAAATAGTTTGAATTGAAGCACAAAACCGAAAGATAAGAAACTTGTTCCTAAGCGAATATGCTCATGAAATAATGCGAAACGATCGAGAAATATTGTAAAGATAGATATGAGAGCTAAGATATAGACGCTAATTGGCGTGAAAGAGCTAGATGAGATGCGGATTTCTGTCAACAAAAACAATATCTCCATACCATCTCTCCGCAATTACTTATAGCAAAGGACGTTAAAGCGCTAATTTTTTACAATCTGACTATTTTAAACC